TCACATATTATGCTTTTGCTATACTATTATTCTCATTCTGGAGTACACTTTTCCTCCTTCTGTTTGGTAAGATGCTGAAATATTCAGGAATGGCCTCATTGAAGCCTTCCTTTACTCCTCCAGGCTGAATTCTTTTCTCCTATAGCTTCTAAACTTCGACTCACCTGTTCACACTACTCACTGTGCTTGGCATGGTGACATTGTCATCTGGTGTTGCCAGAAAATCTCACCTTCAAAGAGTTTAAATTAAATTTATTTCTAGGACCTTGGGTTACATTATCTGACATGTAACAATGATAAGTTTTATTTTTTTAATACTGTATGTACAATCTTTGGCTTAGTTTAGTGTGGCTTTACCAGAAAATCGGGCAGTTTTGCAGTAGTCCTTAAATATTGTTCTCTGGTGTCATTAAGGAAATGCAATTGCAAGGCAAAAATGTGTGCATTTAGAAATGTGCATAGAAAGCTAGTTCTCTGAAATGGTGTTACTACAGGGAGAAACTCACCTTCTTGGCAAACTCTTTTGAAGGGGATGATGTTTATGTTTAGAAACAATAAACCTTTTCACCAACAGCTTCCCCAAACCTGTTAGAATGATACAGTTCACAAATTCATTGATGGAACTAGTCTAATAAAGTACCAAGCATGCTGTTACCTACTTGATATGAATGAAAGGGCATTGCTTTTCAGCTGAGCTGCCTTTAAATAACAGACACTTGTTCCTGGAATACTAATGGAGTGCTTTCTATGGGAGGTGCATATGGCTATCAGTTCAGTTCTGCCTTTTCAATTTCCTGATCCATTCCTAATCATTATGACATAGCACTCTTATACCTCGAAGATGCAATAAAATGTAATTAGAATGAAATATTAAAAAACTAAAAATACAAAGAAATGATTTTTGTAAGATGTGTGGTAAGGCACCATTAATTTGACCTTACCAAAATACAGTCGTATTTCAGCTAGAATTTCATTCTTGCATTTAGCTATAAAAAGAACAGTTTGCTGTAAAAATTGACAAACAGAAGCTGGGGGACATGTATAACCTACTTAAGAGGACAGAATGAGGTGGGCCTGGCCTGGGTCCTTAGCAGGGCCCCCTCATCCTAGGTGGCTAAGCATGACAAACAGGTAGGACTTTGAAATTCTTGAGTAATATCAATTTGGAAAATAAAAAGCAATCTACCAACTAAGAGGCTTTTACTTAGTAAAGTGGGCACACTTAGATATTAATTTTGCAGTACCTTTTTAGTAAGTTTGGCACTTTTTCTACTTGGCAATAATTACAATAAATTTGTTTAAAAATATTCTATATTTTCACCTTATTAGCCTGAATGGCTTAGACTTTGCTGTATTTAGTTATTTTTAGAGGAAATGTTTTCTGCAACGTTGTCTTTTTTCCTTAGACCGTAGACTATTTTTAGTGAAAAATGGCTGCTGAATGTGCAAAAAGAGTACAAAAGACTTCAACAGGAAAATGCTATGATCCATTGAAATTCTCCATTCCTAGACAATTCTCAAATAATACTTAAGAAGACATTCTGGTTTAGCAAGTATCTTATTGGACCAAGCCTGAGCTCATCACAGAGCTGGAATTCAGGATGCATTTATCCTGGGGTCTCACCTTCCCTTGGCAGCAACCCTGCAACCCAGCATCTTCAGTGTCCCAGTTGACAAACTATGCGTCCTTGAGTTTGCCCTCCAGGAGGAGCCTCTGGGAGAGTGCAGTACCATGGACAGAGCTCTGCCAAGGCTCCATCAGCCTAGTGAGTAGGAAGTGCTCTGAGGAAAGACATTAAGGAGAAAAATAGAGAGGAAGACATTTATGGGACACAGAAATGGGTTCTTATCTGTTGATGATAGCATGTATAGTATCCTCAGCTGGACTTGTGAAAAATGTATTCATGTTGGAACATTCACTTTACAAGCTAAGTGACTGAATGTTCTTGCTGATCCATCCACATAAAAGGTACCAAATCTAATATCAGATGGGATTCTGAGGGGTTTATAAGCCTTTGCTTTGTTTTATATTAACTAGGGACTGAAATGTCTTGGACTTTTCTTATACTATACTGCAATTAGTAGGAAAAGTTAATACCTTAATCAATTGAGGGCTTACATGTAACGGTTTTGGGTCAGCATGTGCTGAACTTGGAATGTGGGGATGTTGTGATGGGTCTGTATGTCTCTTTTATCTTTCTATTCTCTAATCTCTCACCCTTTCCAAGCCTGTTTGTACAATTATAAGAGAAATTCCTTGACCTCCAAATAGTTTCAGCTTTAGGTCCAGCAGAAACAACCTTTGCTTAAGCAATTTTTCTCTTTGGAGCTAGAACTCTTTCACAAAGCTGTAGGGTTCTTCTAGGCCTCCGGAAGGAATGCAAGGTGTTTATGATGTAAAGGAGTAAGCTTTTAAAGGAACCCTAGTGGTGCTATTATAATGAGCTGAAGATTTCTCTAGAGGTCCGCTCTCTGTCTGATGACAATAGGAAGCATTGTGCTAAACAAGGAGGTTTAAAAAATCTCCAGTGGAGGTATGCTAGGTCACAGCATTTTTTCTCTCTCTCTATTTACCTCAATCAGCAATGACTGTAACTTATTTTGGTGTGTGTAAGTGAAATAATACTCATAAGTCCCCAAATCCTTCTAGGCTAGGCCTCTTGCTTTGAGTCTCTATGGGAGAGTTCAAGATCTAAAACAATTTTCAGACTTTTTTAGGAAATGGAGCAATTGGAAATTATAGTGCTCCTCTCCTCCCAAATGACAAAGAAATAATGGCTTATTGAGTTAAAAATAACCAATTATAAAAGTTGGCAATCAAGTGGAATATTCTAGAATAAGCTCTGATATACACTACTTGTAGCAGTAGCAAAGTTTCAGAAAAAAAAAATTGTACATAACAAAAAACTCCAATAACTTTCAATTAACTTTTAAAATTTTTCTATGAATCTGGGAAAAGACTGGCCTTTTTGATTTTATTCATGAAATACCTAGGCTGAGTTTTTGAAATATCAATATTCTGATGACATAATTTGACAGTCATTGGTACAAAAGCTTATTAGCTATATAGTGCTCTAAGGATACTTTTATAAAACTAATGATACACAATGCTTATGTCTTTGAACATAGCATTCAGTGTTTACTCTGATGCTTAGCAGCTGGGAGATGAGGCACAGGCGTACCTAATAGAAGTTTCCTTATATTGGCCTCATCCATGACTTAGGGGAGAAGTGACCCACACGTAGGCCTGAGATTCTCACTTCAGAGTTACTGCGCAGCGAGTGGGGAGCTGTCCTGCCAATGTGTGCTGGTGTCATGCCTCTTTCCGCTGAGGGACGACATCATATCCAATTCAAACTACAGAAGATGGCAAAGTCTGTGGCTTGAGAAGTAATACATACCAACAGTGGAGGGGAAAGGGTTATTTATTTAGAAAAGATTAGCATCAAATCCATGGACAGGATGAGAAGCTCATGGAGAAAATCAACTTATTATAATCAAAGAAGAATCCACTGTACTTTGCAGATTTCTCTAGGCACGCTTGATGCAATGTTGATCAAAACACCCTTATGACTTATCACTAAATCATAAATATGACTTACTAACATATCTCCACTGGAGATTTTTATTTATATATATATATATTTTTGAGAGATTTTCACTGTAGGGCGCGTGCGCTCGCCAGACAGACAGAGAGAGACATAGAGACAGAAAGCGAGAAATCACCCCCCAGGGCGACAATCCCTTCTCCTCCATTCTCCTCTCGGGATCTTGGGCACGCACGCACACGCGCCTGGCGTGAGTTTTAAGCCACCGGGTCCGGGACACGAACCGCGGTCGACTACGTGGGAGTCCAGCGACATAGCCATTACGCTAACTGCTGGTTCCCCTATATATATATTTTTTAAAAAATATTTTTGCCATTGGGTATTTATGCTTACCAGAAACAGAGAGAGACAGTGAGAGGGAAAGTGAGAAATCACCCCTGGGGTATGGCCATGCTGCAATCCCTTACATTTCCTCCTGGGAGTTTGGGCAGACACACACACACACACACACACACACACACACACACACACACACGGCATGATTTTCAAGCTGTCAAGTCTGGGACTCAAACCTCAGTCAGTTATGTGGGAGTCCAGTGCCTTAACCACCAACCACCTGCTGGTCTCTCCACTAGAAATTATAGAGAGAAATATCTTCCACTAGATAAGCAACCATGATTAGAAAAAAAAATAATCTTTTTTGGGCTTGTTGTTGATACCTCTTTCCATATTTTTCTGAATTATATTTAAACATTATACAGTGTAGCTGATATTAGCAAGGCACCCAATTTAGCACTAATTTCTCTAGATGGAAACATGAGCCATATGTTTATGTTAGTAATAGCAACACTATGCAATTTAATCATTTCTGAGTAGACTGATATATTTTCATCTAGAAGAGGAAGTTCTGAGAGTTTGTATTCGTTTTTGAAACAACAGCAGCTTTTAGTACAGAGGCCACACAAGTTTTCTGTTTTTATTTTATTTTATTGCTCTATTGGTCTGACTCTGATTAGAGGTTCAAATAAAATCATGATTCTTTTATGCCTTGATTCTGTTAAAGTATTCCTTGTCTCTCTCCTACCACAGAAGCAAGTGCAGATAAATTAATTGTCACCAAATTGTAGCAGAGCAGCACTAAGGTTCTGTGAGGAGGTTGATGTATTTGATTTCCAGATGGTTAAGATTTGTTTTTTTAATATACTCAACCTTACTTTATAAATACATTTCTACAAGGGTACAGAAATCCAACAGAGAAGCGCGTTTTTCCAAGTACTTTCATATGGACATAAACAGCTTCCATTTTGGAAGCCGGCAGGGGGCATGTAAAACAAAAACAGAAAAAATAAAAATAAAAAGCTGTTGCACATAGAGTAATTTTAATCCATTCCATTTTTAAATACCACAATAAATTTAATTTTCACAATAAATTAAATAGCCATATTCAGTTTACAAAATAGAATTACTTAGTGTGAAACCAGTATTTACAGCAATTTACACTATGTACATGACATTTCTCTTTGTTGACATAGAACATGGAAGTAAAAGGACTTGACTTTCCAACGTGTGATTGACATGCTACAAGTGATACCATGGTCCATACGAGGAAACGATAGTGCAAAATCACCACAGGAACTTTGGAACGAGGTCAATTTTATGAGATAAGACATTCTTTCAAATAATACGAAAATAGCATTTTCTGTTTTCATGGCACCCATTCAGCACCTGAATTAAGGAGCCAGCTTTCCCTTAGGAAAAAAAAGAAATGTGTAACTGAATCCTCTACTTCCTGAAGCTTCACAGCCATTGGTACATTTTCACACATTCATCTTTTGGCTTAGATCTATGAAAATGGCGGGTGACAGATTCTGAATCAAAGGAAGACTAACTCTTTGAGAATAGCTGAAGTCACTTTTCCTCAATATCACCACCTCATCTTTTTCTCGTAAATAGCTTAAAAGATGCAACTATGCAGATGGCAACTTTTATTTATTTATTTGTAAATTTTCAGTAGAAAAAGAACTGATCTTATATTTGGCCACACACTGCATATGTACAACTATACATGGAAAAATGACTTGAATAGCTGTGTCCAGGAAAAGTGCATATTATAATCTAAAGGAGGCATCACGTTTCTCCAGGCCACAACACATAGTGTTGTGTGACTTACTATTTTAGGGCCAGTTCAATGTCCTCCCAGTGATCTGGTAAAATTTTTGATTGAAAGGATGAAAAAATTTGCGCAATTTGGTAATGACAGAGGGGTCCACCTCTGGATGAATGCGCCCCTTGCTGCCCGCCAGGCACTTATTAAAGATAATGTTAAATCGCAAGCAGTAAAACCCTCTGGTAGCATTGAAATACAAATTGTATTGACTTATCCTCGGAGGAAGATTTAGAAATTTCTCCACCAGCTGAAGTTCTGGCAGAGGTTCTGTGATGAGGCGATCTCCATCGACGACGTGAAATTGCTCAATTGGAAAGTATTTCAGCCACCTTTCCAGGTGTTTGGTGTAGATGCTGGTTCTTACTGCCTTGTATTTTGTGTTCACTTCACAGGTATTAGAGTCTATGGCCAGCTTCTCAAACTTGTAATAAGTTTTGTTCTTCCTCTCCTTCCCCTCTAGCACCTGAGTGTAATCAGAAATAGCTCTTGTGGTTGGCTCCCTGACAATGATCAACAACTTGATGGATGAGTTCATTTTGTAAATCCTTTCCGGAACCTCCTCTGTGATAAAATATGCTGGGCTCTTTTCAATTGTGATTTGCTGTGGGTAGGAAAAAGGCATCTTTTTCCTATACCACTCAATGCCCTTGGCATAATTCTCATCATTGTCAAAAAAGTGGATTTCTTGAGAGGCTTTGACCACTGCAGGATGGAGATTTAGCATCTCAAGCAGGGCCCTTGTGCCTCCTTTCCTCACCCCGATGATAATGGCCTTGGGAAGCTGCTGCACCAGGTCATGGAGGCGAACCTGCTCCTTGGAAGCGTTGCCCTTGCGGAACTCGTGCAGCAAGCCACGCTTAAACTGCAGGGCACGCAGCGGGAATTCAGCCTGACCACGGGCTCCACTGAATCGGCCTTCAACGGGGCAAATGGGTTGTAGCCTGAAAGGGGAAAAGATACTGTAAGAAACTCATTGCCAAGAACTTCACACTTTTTCGGATCCTCAGGCAGACTAAGACTTTAAATGTAAAAATAAAACCACTGGTTCCCAGACTGCTGCAATTCATAATGAATCTATGTTTAGGAAATTTTATTTGAAGCCACCCTGTATTAAATGGAGCACACATAATTGATGGGATTTTTTTTATTAGTGCGCCTTAGAATTTTTATTCACCAGGCACTTAATTGACTACGGCATGTACTTATGTTCACAGTACAGGATAGACAAGTGACACTAGCCATTCTAATAGCTTTTTAACAGCTCACCAGTTAAAATCATTTAGGAAACGTGAAAAGCAGAAGATCATCTTTGACTGGGCAGCTGAAGGGCAGTTAGGAGGCCATGTGTTTCAGGTTTCGTGTGGTATTATTTTCTTACGGCTCAGCAGCACTCAAATGGCTCTTAAAACTTTTGAGATATTATCTGAAAAGTAGTCCTAATATCTGCCCTTGGTTATTTGCATTATCAACCTGCAAAATCCCAATCTTGGCATTTGCTGAGCTTTTCATTCTATCAGAGTTTCTGACCTCAGCGTTGTGGGTGGCTAGAAGAGTACTATATTTCTTCTTTCTCTTTTTTTCTATTAAAAGAGGTCAGGATTCTGTTCCCACTTTGCTGAATGTAGGAGCAAACCCACTTGCCACCAGCAAGCACTCTATATCATCTCCCACCCCCAGAACCAGAAATCAACAAGGCCTCCTGATGTCCAGAAACTTCGGCAACTCTTTGCCAAGCCCACTAAGTCAAGGGCTCAAATTCATAAAGGAAGGAATGCAATGGATAGACCCAGAAGATTTTTACTTCAATGTAACTCTGAATAAAGAAAGGCCACCCTTGCCTTGATCAGAAAGAAGGTTCTGTCGATTAGAGTGACTATTTAATTTGGCACGGGGAATACACATGGTATGCTGTTTCTTTTTCGATATGGTCTGAAAGTGAACTGAAATTCACTCTAATTTTCCTGCATTGACCTGGGAAGTCATTTTAGCCTCCTTGGTAGAAGGGGATATTATTAGTCAAAATGGCTGTTAAGTCAATTTCTTTCATGGAAAAAAATTTTTTTTTTGAGAGATTTTCACTGTAGGGCGCGTGCGCTCGCCAGACAGAGAGAGACATAGAGACAGAAAGCGAGAAATCACCCCCCAGGGGGGATGGTCACGCCGCAATCCCTTCTCCTCCATTCTCCTCTCGGGATCTTGGGCACGCACGCACATGCGCCCGGCGTGAGTTTTAAGCAACCGGGTCCGGGACACGAACCGCGGTCGACTACGTGGGAGTCCAGCGACATAGCCATTACGCTAACTGCTGGTTCCCTCATGGAAAATTTTTAGTTATCCTTATAATTTGGAGTCTGTGTCTCCCTCTGTGGCACTAAACCTATTGCTTGTTTTTCTTAAGAAGTCCTATTACATCCTTCTTGTCTTCTCAGGTGAGAAATAATCTCATAATCATGCCCAACCTATTCTGTTGAACGGAGAGGGATGGCCTTGGCTTGTGCTCTATTTAAACTGCTATTATAATGCTTAAGAGAAAAATATACATATATACATATCTATATTAATTTGTTGTGATTTTTAAAATGATTTTTAAAACAATTCATGCTCCTTGTAAAAAGTGTGAAAAGAAAACGACAAGGTTTACCACAGTTAATATGTTAGACAAACATGAATTTTGTTTTTACAAATTTGTTAATGAGATTAATATGTTAGGGCTCTAAATGGAAAATATAAAATTATCAACAGATAGTCAGAGATCTTTTTAATTGTGAAAATGATTGGGATAGTACTAATTTACATTTTGGCTCTTCTTGAGAATTAAGAAATTAATTTAAAATAATTCTCAAGCAGAGAATTAAGCCTTAATTCCTTAAGGTATCAATTGATGGACGTTTCTCCTAAGCATCTAGAATGATGCTAGTACTATCCCAGGAGAATTGAGAACATAGCCCCTCAAATTCTTTTCTGTAGGATTTAATTATTTCATAGAACCCTAGAAACAGGCCGACATAGTCTCTGTCATGTTTGAGCTGAAATGAAATTACTCAACCTGTAAAAATGTC